TTTTACGAAAAATCGTTATATCGTGGCTCGTTTTTAACTATTTTTTTTTTTTTTTTATAAATATCTCAAGATCTACTGACAATTATAAGAAAAAAATTATTCATATATTCAAAAATCATCGAAATTGAACGCTGTCTAAATTATTACTTCAAATTATTTTCTTAGATCAATAAAGATTTCCGTTTTTTTTTTTATGTGAAAGAAAATTTTTGGAGAGAAAAAAATGGATCTTTAAAAAATTTTAATTTTGAAGCGTTTATAAAATATAATATAAGCTGATACAAAATGTTACACGTTGTAATAAATCGAATGACAATAACGCAAATATTGATTTACACATCACTCTTCGCATCTAGAAATTTTTACTGTGAAATACATGCGTGTATTGCGTTATCGCAATTGTTATCAATTTCATACAATAATCGCATTGTGGTAAAGTATGTTGTACTAATTGTGTATATGATATTTTTATCTATAATGTATACGTATAGTTTCGACTTAGATTAATTTAGATTAGCAAAGTAAATATTTCGACCTTGCATTGGACATTTTCTTAGAATTGATCGTTTCCACAATTTGAAGGAAATGAAGAAGCCATTCGTAGAATTTGATCATTATCATAATTATGTAATACTGATTATTATGCGATAAAAAATAAGAATTAATTAAATTGTATATTATAAATTATAAAAAAATATTAATTAGAAAAACATTGTATTTTATTGTATATTTCGATTATATTTTTAATAGTAAAAGAAACTTGCTTTTAATATTCCAGAATTGGTATGCACAAAGAAGAGTAAAATTAATTTTAGAAGCATTTCAAAAGAACTTTTTGAAGTTTTAATTTTTTTTATTATTTTTAATTTTATTTTTCATTATATTAATAATAATAATAATAATAATATTTTTTATATTGTAATTTATTGATATTTTAAAATGAATATGTAAATTAAATAAATAAGTTTGTTTTTATTATTTTAATATTGTATTAAATTTCACCTATCAAGGATAAAGTAAATTCAAGTTGAAATATTCTTTACAAGAATACTTTAAGAGATAATTAATTCAAATATTCAAGAAAAATGTTCCTATCAAAACTATAAATATTATAATATTCATAATATCTCTCTCTTTAAGATATTTAATAAAACAAATATTTTTCAATAAGTTTTTATTCCCCTTTCGGTAATTTTAATTATTCATCTAAAATACTTGTCGCTTACATAAATTTTAACATTAAACTCAGTAAAACAATTAACTATAAATAAATTGCGCCCTTTCATTCTTTTAAAAATAAAATATTATAAGATTTTTAAACAAAATTAAATAGAAACAAAAATATAATGATAAAATTATTTCTCGTCGTGTTAATTATATTATTTTTTGTCAGTCTCTTTTTTGGCTGTTCGAATTTCAGACAAAATCGTGGAAAAGTTTATTTAATCGTGCAAAACATGACGTTTATTTTACCTAGATGTTTTCTGCGAATAGATTATGACGTGCTAATACATGTTATAATTTATAATAATATACAATACATAAGAAATATTTTGAGTTGAGAGATATTATAAATTCTTTTACACAAAACGTTTCGCTATGCAACGTTTGGCAGCAAAATAACACAGAAAATAGAATTTCTTTACTACGCACTGTATATATCGTTCAAAATTTAAATTATTACGTATTTTCTCAGGAAATCTAATAATCGCATTTACTATTTTGTTATACTTGTGGACGATCTTCAAACTCATTTTGTAATTGACGTTTGCGTTAATAATACATTATTATTTAAAAGTTTGGAAATAGTTAATATTTTGCATAAAATGAAAAATCTTTTGTAAATAATACGGAAGTAATCATTTATAGTTAAAACTAACATTTATCGATAAATATTTATTGTCAATTATTTTAGTGAAAAGAAAATCAATGGAATTTAATTTAAAATTCGTTCAGAGGTAATGAGAAATAAAACGTAATCATTTTGATAAAAATGCAAAAAAGCAAATATTTGATTTTTAACTTCCACTCATGTGAGATTTAGTTTTAATAAATGTGACTTTGCAAAAATATTTTTATTTGAAGTTTTTAATCGTTTCTTTTGACTAGTAGTGTTTGTCGTCATTTATATCAATTAAAAAAACAATAATGAAATATTTTACTGGGTTTCTACATACATATAATTATTATCGTTATATGTGGTCGTATTAATAAATTTTTTGTCACACAACTTGGAAAAATAGAAAACTATCAAAATTATGTTAGCGTTGAACATCTATTACATATATTCTAAAAATATATTATTCGCTAGTGATTAATTTTTTTTCCGTGATTATCCATTGAAAACGCAATTATATACGGAATTTTTCTAAAAATGAAGAAGGATAAGCGAATAAAAAAAATCTGTATAATCGAGAATTTCAATTGAATGTAAATTTTTATAACTGACTTCGTAATTTACATTAAATTACTATATTGATTATCATAATGTATATATTCGTTAATTTGTTTTTCTGAAAATAACCACTTTTATGTAAAAAAAATAAAGAATTAGAAAGTAATTGGAGAGAAGATGCCTGAGATTTCTCATTAAATTTACAAATTGATACACATGATTCTGTGAAATGAATTCAATTTTTATGAATTTCATTTGTTATCTAAACTATACTGTTACCTAAACTAATTAAATTAACAAAAAAAAATATATAAAATATTTTATATATAAAATTATATTATTTATATATAAAATATAAATAAACTAAATGTTAATCCATACAATTTGATTATTCCAATATATTATTTATTCTTACCTTTGTTGATTCAACATCTTTCCAACTTTTTCACTAATTATTACTATATTAATAAAATAAAATCACATCGAACGAAAAACTTTTTAAAATAAATTATTTTCAATTCAATAATGTCATATATTATTGATACGTAAACATGAAAAGGTATACACAATTTGACACGTTACTCCAATACATTATTTATTCTTACCTTTTTATTGATTCAGCATCTTCTCAACTTTTTCACTAATTATTACTATATTAATAAAATAAAATCACATCGAACGAAAAACTTTTTAAAATAAATTATTTTCAATTCAATAATGTCATATATTGTTGATAATGTAAAAATGAAAAGGTATACACAATAATTGCTATTTACTCTACCGATTCGTTTTATTATTTATCAAATGACGCCACAACATCTCTGCATAATCGGTAAATTAAATCGAGAGCGAGTCGAGGAGGAATCCATAGAATTCGGGTAATGTCGTGGATGGCACAGGGCGGCCAGACCTTTATCGATCCATCGTCGAGCTTGCCAACTTATAGAAACCCCCATGATCAAGGCCATCCCGTGGAAAAAAAAAGCGGGAAATAGTTGAACTCGAAGGGAAGAAGGAGAAGCACTAACTCCACGAAATTGGAGAAGGGTCGTTTGATTTATGGCGAATAGCTGTTCTAGTAGGATGCTTCGATTTCGCAAGTTGTGTTCACCGATCCTCGCTTTCTTCCATCATTTTGAAAATACAAAACGTTCTTTATTTTCATTTCGATTTCGCGATTCTTTCTTTTTCATGTAATCTAATTGTACGTAAAATGAATTTAGAAAAGATAAATTTATGGATTATATAAATATAGATTCGAGAAAAATTTGAAAAATTTGATTTTAAAAATTTTCGTGTATAGAACATAATAAATTATAAGCAATATTTTAATGTGAAATCAATTCAAATTTGTATCATTTTTTTCATGTTTTATGATATTTACATGATATTGAAACTTGAATATTTTATATTTTAATATTTTATTTTATTTCTATTGTATTTAGAAAATGAAACTTCATTGATTTTGTCTCTTCGATACTTCGATACGATTAATAAAAATATTTCTCTCTAATCATTATGGGATACGTACATATTCATAATGTTTCATATATTATAAAACAGAGTTATCATTGAATTTACATAAGAGCAAATCTTTGTTTATTTATATTCATTCATCCAGAAGAAACATCAAAGTCAATATCATCAAAAGAATGTTTTGATTTTTAATAAAATACAGGCAGTATCGATTGACATCTGAATACTTAAGCAATGTATAAACGTTGAAACGTATTGCGATTGCAGGAATCGACTAGATAGATTTAAGTCAATATCTTGCATGAGGCTGAAACATCACTCTATCACTTCTAGCATTCTTATATAAGCCATTGATGGATTTTGAATGGATATCTGCATGTTTGAGCATCTATAGCCAGCAATTTTAATGTTCTGACGATTCTATCTTTTATTTATTCGCTAACATTTTATGTAAATTAACAAATAAAATAAAAAATACTATACCTGAAATGATGTAATATACTGTGATTTTATGCTATAAATATTATAGCAATTTCGATAATACAATATTTATATTTTTATCTTAAAATATTTTGAGAATTGTGATAAAATAGGAAAACTGAAAAACTTATCGAAAAACGATAAATATATCATTATTTTTCGTATCGATTTTAACAATGATGAAAATCAAAAAATACCATTGTAATCTTTATTTTAGCTAAATTTTAATTATTCTTAGAAATTTCACTATTATATATAGATAAAAATTGATATCTCATATCTTCGCTCGCATGAAAATAATCATTTAAAAAAATTATTGAATTTAAAGAAATCTTTATTTTTTTCCATTAATAAGAAATATAATTGACAATTGAATATTTAAAAATTATATTTTATCTTTTTTCAAAATTATTCTTTTCTATTATAACTGAAACGTTAACCATTAAATTCAATCCATTGCCTGCAAGTAAATGGAAACACTTCGTAAATTATATACATTTAACACAGGATATTTGCAATCAGTGAACAAATATGCTACGAATGGAACATTGTTTGTCGAATAATTGTAAATCGCACGATAAACACGCATCTTTAAAGCATTTTTTATTCTTTCTATTATTTCTGATCGAATGTACTCTTTTTGTTTCAGGTACGTAATCGCAGTGGACTTGTTTCTACCGATATATCGAACTCGCACGACTACCGTATGATCGATACATATCATCTTCGATGCTATCTCTACATTTAGAAGGTAATGAATTAATCGTATGTTTGTTCATCGTCTCTATGATGCGAAATCTCTGCAATCGCGTACGTACTTGAAAATAAACGCAAGAAATTGAGTATACAGTTTTTTTGGTTAAATTTCAATCAAATTCCAGTAATTCAATTGTTCACAAGCAGAGTTTTGTTTTAAGAATTGATTCAAATATGGTTTATCAAAAGTTTATTAAAATAAGAGATAAATAAACTTTAAAGAGATAAAATAATAATGATGTGATAAAGAAAATTCTATTTTATATAATTTCGGTCTTAGAAGATGATATCAATGGATTGTTGAGATTTTTTTGAATTTAAAATTTAAACATTTATATAGGATAATTTATATAGGATAATAGAATTAGTTTTGTTAATAATTAATTAGAAATCATCATTATTCAAAAAGTCTATACAAATTGGAAATATTAAAATAGAAAATGATATTCTATATTTTGAAATGTTAAAAATTTGTTAATACAATTGAGTTTGTATACCATAATTGTATTTATCATAGATGCAAATATTGTTGAGTGGCATGGAGGAATAAATTATAAATAAATTTATTCAAATAAATTTTAATAAAATTTAATTTGATATTACTTTGAGAATGCTGCATAGCTTGGATATTATTTAAATAAATTATTTTACTTAAAAAAAATAATTATCAAATTAATATATTATTTTATTTGAAATAATTGTGTTAGCTTATTTAATTGTATAAATAATTTTTCTCTAGATTATTTCTTTGAAATTTGTTTGAAATAATTTTTCATCTTATTTTTTATATAATCAAATACTTTCTCAAATAAAATCTCAAATATTCTAATTCTATCATCAAATGTATCTGAAATACAGATTTTCATATAATGCATAAAATCTTATATATAAATTGAGGATATATATTATTGAAGAATAAATACATAAAAAGGAAAACAAATTAATGAATTGTATTCTTGATAGCAAATGCAATAATAAATATTTTTAATTATTTAATTAATTCAATATTTTCTAATATATATATTATATTACATGTATAATAATGTACATATTAAATTATATATTTATTTTATTTATTTGAGACAAATGATATTTGAAATAAAAAAATAATTATTTTAAAATAATTTATTCTAACGAGACACAAAAATAAAATTACTTTTCACGTGTTTTTATTTTTAAAAATAAAAATAATAAATAAAAAAATAAAATTGAAAATAATTCATTGCTTCAGATGATATATTTGCTATCTTTTATTTGAAATAAAATATATTCTTGCTCCGTATGACAAATATTTTGCTATATTTTTTTCTTTTGTATATATTACATTTGAAATATACCGCTAAATACAACAAAGTATCTGTTATTGAATATATTTGCCGCAATCGAAATTACGTGCGTTTAATATTTGTTTTTATGTTATCACTCGTATATTGGAAAGAATATTTTCTTTCTTTATGCGTGTAAATTGTCGTATACAATTGATGACAATTAATACCATATAAAAAAGTGTTGATGAATCGAAATAGATATTTGTTTTGACATTTTAAATAGAAGTGGTAAAAGTTATTATTATTATTTTATAAGCAATTATTATTATTATATATCAACTCTTTGATACAAAGAACAATGGAAATCATTAGCAAGCGATAATAAAATAGAAATAAAGAACAGAGTACAAAAGAAAGAAAAAATAAAAAGTGAGTAAATTATATATTAAATTATATATAGATCGTTTAAAAAAAATTAAAAGAATTACAGAAAAATTCGAGTATGATACAAAAACGGTTCGCATAATTCGATGAATCGCATTTTTTTTTAAAATTAATATCTATTATTATTATTATTAGTTTATTTAATAGATATATCATTTATTTTATGCTTTATTATTTATAAAATTTGATCGTAAAGATTTTTCTGGCCGGTTACGTGTTTCTCGTTCTAACTGATTGGAAATTAACGCAATTTTCCAATGGAATGCTGATTTGATATAAATGATCATTGAAATTCCATGAATTCTATTCTCCTTTTTAACTCGGTTATTGCAGGTATTTATTGATCGTTAACAATATTAAAATATTTTTTCCCTAAAATTCTATCATTTCTGGAATCAGAAAAAATTATTATAATTATTTTAATAATAATATAAATTATTATAATTATTAAAATTATCTTATTGTCTAACAGTATTTAAATATAATTACAAACATATATATTATATATTATATATAATAAATATT